TATATATATACACACATTATCTGTGGATTTTTCTCTAGATACGATAAGAGCTAGGTAGAAGAAACTGATTGTGATAAAACATGAATTCTAGATAAGCATATTGATAATGTTTTTCTGTTTTAATCATATTATCCTTATCTTCATAGATCGCTCTCATGTCGGAATTAATTATCAGCGCAAAAAAAAATGATTCGAATGATCCTCGTTGATACACGGACGCGAACAAAATCAACAATCCGGCACCTCGATACGGCCCTGTTTACAATTAAAACTCCCTACTTCGACCTCCATTTTAGGTTCCTACTTCCTAGCATTTGTTTACCGAAGCAAGAATACCGTCATTACGACGTGTAGCGAAAAGAGGAGATTGGTATCCCATATACATGAGTTCGTCTGTACAAGATACTACAGAAGTGAGTGTAAAAAGACTTCTGTTCACCGGTGAAGAAGGAAAAGATCGGAGAAGGGTGAGGTGATGAGACGTGAGAGCGCAGTGCACATGGCGGACGCCGGCACCTCGATACGGCCCTGACACGTCGTTCTCCACGCGCGTGCCGCACTAAGGAAAAAGCACACGAGTGACACGAGTGACACGAGTGCACACGAGGATCCAGCAATCAACTGATGCGATGTGCAATCACGCATGTCGCGCCCTTCTTTCTCTTTCTTTCTTTCCTTTCTTACCGCTCGCTTCCTCGCTCGCGCTCACACATACACACACGCATACACGCGCACGCACGCCACGGCCACAGTCCGACCGGTCAGGACTCCCGCCATTTCTACATGACAGCCGCAACGTGTATGATCCGTCGAACAGCTGTCGACTACGACTGGTTGTCAGTAATCATCCCCCCGGACCGGACGAACGGTTGCCGCTGCCGCAAACACACGCACTCGATCTCGTGCCGGATTGCCGCGCTTATTTAAATTCACACTGACCGTTCATTCGGCACACCGGTGAACACCTGCGGTAGCACCCGCGACTCCCAACGTCACCCACGACACGTCGGCGTTGTTCGTGCTTGAGCCGACGAACCGTTCGCATGCACACAATGTTTATTTCAACAGCGACGCGACGCGACGCGACGTCACCGATCCGCTCCTTTTACCACCGTCGGCGAAACTACCAAGATGGCGGCCGCCATCACGTGACTCGCGACGTTTTATGACGTCGTGCGAATGTTAAAGGCCGGCGGCCGGCCATTCGCGTTTGTTGCATGCGTCACGTGACCGTGTCCACGTGCGTGTCCAATGGGAGAGGTGCTTCCCTAAAAATAAGGGCGAATTACAGTCAAAATGGCGTAAACGGGGTGAACACGATCATCACCACGTCCATCCTTTTTCAATGATGTGGAATTGATACGACGATTCGTTGTATCAGTATGAGAGAATTTGAAAAGAAATTTTTAATAGAAGTAATTATACATGTAATAGAATTTTTCGTTTGCAGCACGTATCGCGAAGATTCTATCAGCGTTCTATATGCGTAATTTTTATTTTAATATTTCTTAACCTTAATTACATCATCAAATACGTTTTAACCTAATCTATAGATGCTATAGATTATTTCTTTTCTTCCTGTTTCTTGTTTTATGCCTTATGACTTTTCTTCTTTTCAACCGTTTATAATCGTATTTCTTGTCTCTTCTGAAATATGACAACTTTTATCTCGGACGACGAAAAAAACGAAAATTTCTTATGAAATATTTTATAACTCAGTCTTTTTCACAAGGGTTTTTCTAGGAATATTAGCAATAATTCTTAAATCGATAAAATAATAGTAATAATTCATGTAAATATAATTTCAATTACAATATACACCACAAAGTATTTACAAAAAATATTATTTATACATATTGTAAGACGTAATATGTACATTCATCAAATATTAAAAATTCACATTCAACGCCATCCATCATCGTTCTTCATCATTGTCATCATTGTCAAAGGACAGAACAATTTTTTGCTTTTCTCTTTTCGCTTTCTTTTTTACAGGTTTATTTGTGGCAATTGTATCAGAATCTGTTTCTGCTGCTTTAGTCTTGCGAAATATGATCTTCTTAGATAAATCAGCTGGGGCATTATTTTCTTCTACAATTGATTACTTTGATAGATCAATCATAAAAAATTAAATGCAATTCATAAGATATTTAATTACATGTTTTGCTGTATAATGTCATATTCAATATTACATTTAGAGTAGTCTCTGTATTAAATCTACTAAATACCTTTTTCTTTCTGTTTATTAAAAGCATCTGCTTCTTCCGCTGTCAAATCACCAGAATTTAATACAACAACAACAGGTTGCTCATCAGCCAACTCTTCCCTTTCATCATCGGATACTTTTGGTAAAACTTCTCTCTAATTTAACAAGTGAATATATTGTTAATTCTATGCTTGCTATATTTTTATGTTTGTTTCTATCTGTGTAGATTAACTTTAATCTCAGTTCAACTTATCATTCATTTTTGTTTAGTGTTAAGAACCAGAAGAAAATAAAGAATAGAATCGAAAAAAAGTTGAAGCGTGATTAAAGTTAATCTACATTAGTGGATACAATCTTAATTTTACAAAAAAAGTAAACATGAGTATTAAACATTAATGTCCAGACACAACAATTTATAATTATGACACATAAAAAACTTAAGCAATAATACATAAACAGTAAGCGAATTGGCCAAATAGAAACCATAAGACAATAATGCAAAGTGTAGCAAATCCAAAATCTTAATTTACTTATTATTTAAATTTTTTGTGTGCCATATCCTTTGTAGAAAATCATACTTTCGTATCAACAGTAGGACCTTCTTTATATCCGATTTGTTCCTTCAGCTCTCGTAGAAATTTTGGTTCGTTCGGTTTGATATACGATACATTGTGTTTTTTTCGTGACATAATTTGTTAATTCCTTAAACGTCTTCTACAAAAGATTGTTTGGAAAACGATAACCTGTTACACTACAATGATAACTGTAAACAGAGCTCTCCGTCAGTTTACTTCTTCTTCTTCTTCTTAAAACTTTTATTTGGATTTTTCGACCCACTACAAAGATCACAATATCATGAAACAAAGAAGGATCAAAAGAATAAGAATTCAACTTCAACGATAACCTTTTCAGGGAGCAGAGGATTTATTTGATTCATCGTTCACGCTTACGATTTGCAACCCTGTTGTAAAACAGGCTTTAGTTCCAAGCGGTCCTTAAAGCGGCGTCTACAATGGAATTTAAAGCGTAAAATTTAAGTTTTAAGTGTAAGAAATTGACCAATCACAGTCGATTATTCCTCTCACAATCGACTTGATTGATTAATGTCTTACGATTTAAAACTTAAGAAATAGTATTGTAGAAAGCCTATCATATTCGATTATAGTCGATTAGTCTTCATCTATCTATTTCTCAATCGCAAGAAAGTTATACAAATCGAGTACTCCACCAGAAAAGGAGGTTTTCAAGTCTTGCAGTTGGCAATATTTAGTGCCAGTTTGACCAACGTCAGTTAAGCTTTCTGTCGATTAACTTCATCACTAGAATAGCCAACAAGACTTAAAAATCTATCTTTCTCTTATTCTTGTTAATAATAGTAAAGAAAAAGTATTGTGTGGAGATAATAAATAAAACATTGAAATGTAAATATATTTGTCTATTTTTTACAAATACATACTTTCGAAATTAGATTAGAGATGATGAATTTTCAGTTTAGCAGTTGGCAATACTCAAAGTTAATCGGCGGATAAAGTAACTGGCGTTGGTGAAACTGGCCCTTAATCGACCGATTGAAATTAATCGGAGTCGGTGAGACCGGCACATAAGCTTGATACAATTATTGAGTACCCAGGAGTACCGTGAATCCTCGATCACGATGTAGTTTCGTATAATGAATTCAGTGAGCGGAGGTTATCAATTCCGATCGATCGCGGCATTTTTCTGCACGTGTGTCATTCACGCGTTTGTCGGAATACGCATGTAAATTGTGTGTACACATAACATGTGTACAAAGTCTCGAACTCTCGACAGCTTCCGATACTGTGGTCCATTTTTCTTGTATTTCATTGAATTTATCCTCGAGACACGACGTTAAAATTACGTACGTGCCAGAATTGATTACGGAATTTTCTCTTTTTCATATTATTCTGTTTAGTTTAAAACTTGCTAATCTACGTACGATATGGGCAAATAGCGACGTGGCAAAATGTCTCACGTTGAATCATGTAAAGTTCGACAGCAAAATGAATTGGAAGTCTTGAAGGTATATGACGCGCTAAGTAAGCACGTGGCAAAAAGTAACATTTTCTAAGCCATGCGATGTTAATATCTCTCTTAATAATTCTATTTTGTCATTTATAATAGTCCATTTTTGGTGATGAATTACGTGACTTGAGGAAGAAGAATAAAAAGAAATGGCAACCTCTAGATATTGTTGTTACCTTGACACCACAGAAAGGTATGTCCGGACCAGTGGAAGTCTATGCGCAGATAGATTTGCATATTACGTGCTGTGATAAATATCCTCATGAGTAAGTTTTATATCTTTCAATATGTATCGTTTATTTATTTCATAATATCTACATGATTTATTTGTCATATTTTAGAGTACCAACCATTCAACTGCAAGACAGCAGAGGCTTGTCTCATCAACAGGTTGCAGTTTTGTCATCTGAGCTCGAAAATTTAGCACAAAAGTTAAAAGGTGAAGTTATGATTTTTGAATTCAGTCAGCATATTCAGAAATATCTGCACGAACATAACAAACCGAGTTACAGTAGTTTTTATGAGGAGATGGTATCAAGAAATCAAGAAAGAATACAATATGAGATGCAAGAGAAGCAAATGAAAGAAGATAAAGAGAGACAGGTTTGATTTAATATGTTGATTTATATATTTTTTCAGTTGCATATTATGATGTTTGATTTCTATTATCATGGATATTTCCGCAGGTTCTGCAAGATGCCATACAAAAACGTCAAGAAGCCCTGAAAGCTGAGATGCGTAATCGAAAGGAAACAGTTCGATTGACCACAGATTCTGATATTATCTTTCGATCCATACCATCATCTCCGCATGAACGAGGGACAAGCCGTTTCAGACGTCGATGTGTAAGCACGTCGGAAAGCTCTGAAGGATCATTGTGCGAGCATAGAGGTACTAAACTCATCCATTTCGACAGTAATAAAGGCGAGAGACAAGTGCACCGAGGCAAATGCTTGGGGCACAGTACGAAGGGTTCCATAGTATACGCCGGTGTAGATGAGACTACTGGAGAATTATTAGCTATCACGGAATGGACGTTGAAATGTGCGATGGCAAATGGTTGCTCTACTCAAGAAGTAGCCATCGATATACATCATGCCATGAAACAGATTGCCAGTTTAGAACAAGAGCTGAATCACTTGTACAAACTACATCATCCAAATCTTGTACATTATTTAAATATGAAATATTTGCAAAATAACAATAACGTGGTGATTTACGTGCTTCAAGAGTTCGTGGTATGTAAATATGTGCATATATATTGCTTTGGAGCAGCAATATTTGATAAGATTAAGAATAGTTTTCACGTTTATGATATTGATTGTATGTAAAAGTAGGTTGGTACCACATGCTCGTTCTATCTGATGGAAAACATTCCAGTCGACATCGACATGTTGAGGCATTTGGCTACGGGTGTCCTCGACGCATTGCAATACCTCCACGAGAATAATGTAGTGCATAAAGATTTACGAGATACCAGCATTTATATAGACCATATAGGTGTTGTAAGATTGTCCGATTATTCTTTAGATAAGAGATTGTCAGACATGCATCATTCGAATTCCTTAGCAAAGACTGAACATGATTTTCCAACGATTCAAGGCCGAGGTGGTAAAAAGGCAGACATATACAGATATGGAATATTATTGCTTTCGTTATTAAAAGGAACCATCATATCCGGGGAAGAAATTGATCTGACAGTAATCCCACAAGTAAATTTTTTTTTTTTAGAAAGAAAATCTGTCATTAGTATTACACTGATTAGTATATATCAAAGACTGTTTTATCTGAATGCTCAATGCAGTAGTATAATGTATTCTTTAAAATGAGGAAAAATAATATGTAATATAGACTTTGACAATAAAATAATACATGTATATTCTATTAAACAATGTGACAATGTCACACATTATTGGATATTTAATCATTTAAAATGTTATACTTTTATATTTAACTTGGCTGATTTCATGTATTCTTTCAATATGCACTAATGTAGTGTAAATGACCAAATTTGCTATTTATGTAGCATATACGTTTTTTTCATAAAGTGCCAACAATGGACGCGCGTATCCTAAGTTAAATAATTTCTTTTAGCTTCACTTGAGGGACTTTATTTCAAAATGTCTCATCGACGACGAAAGAATGCGTTGGTCTGCAGAGCAATTGCAACAACATGGTTTTATAAAAATACCATTAGCACGAGGTTTATCACCTTCAGTACCGGATCATGATGAGAAAGAGAAAAATTTAGAGCCAGAAGAACCGGATATCGATATTCAGTTACATTTGCCATCGATGGGTAGGCAATCGCGAATACAAAATGAATTTGAAGTGCTAAAATGGCTGGGAAAGGGAGCTTTTGGCGACGTTTTGAAAGTGAGAAATAAATTAGACGGCGGTGTCTACGCTATCAAACGCATAGAATTAAATCCAAAGAAAAAACAGCTAAATAGGAACATTACGCGCGAAGTTAAATTGCTCTCTAGAATGAATCATGAAAATGTAGTACGTTATTACAATTCGTGGATTGAAAGTGCTACTTTGGATGATTCAGTCAGACATAGTCATTTTACGCCGATCACCACGTCTTCAGATAGAACAACCACCACGCAGGATAAAGCAGATATAGTTAATGTAATTATATTATAACGATAACGATTACGTCGCTCGTAACAAGAAGAGCCGTAACAACATTCTACTTTATAATGTTGAATTATATATAATTGTAATCAGACTTTTGCGCTGTATAAAAACATGACGTGAATTTTAGCATCTGGAAAGTGATGAGATAGAAAAATTTGCTCCACCGTTACGCGATGTTGAATGGAATATATCGTACGAATCTCGGGCGAATGTGGCTGATAGTGACGATGAGAATAGCGATGCGTCGACTGATTCCGATAGCGAAGAACATTGCGCATTTCTGTAAGATTATTTTTCTTTTTCTGAAATTATATCCTCTATAATATTTAATATTTTTATTCACTTATTTCATTTAATGTATATTATTCTAACGTATATGCAACTTTATATTTAAGATGTGCGCGCGCATGTGTGTGTGTGTGTGTGTGTGTGTGAGTGTGTGTGTGTGTGTGTGCGTGCGTGTGTGTGATGCATAAAGAAAAACTACTTATTATTAGAAAAGTTGATTTGAATTTCGTCTCTTACAGAATGCGAACTTTATTACATATTGAGTCTTCCGATAGTATTGAATTCGAAAGGGATGATATATCACAAAAATGCGCAGTAACGCTGGATGTTTCCAATAATGATGTTAAAGATACTGAAACTTCTAACGAAGATGTAACGGTAAAAGAAATACAATTTATGTACATACAAATGGAATTCTGTGAGAAAAGCACATTAAGAACTGCCATAGATAATGGTTTATATGAAGATGAAGAACGTTTTTGGAGGCTCTTTCGAGAAATTATAGAAGGTCTGGCGCATATTCACCAGCAGGGTATGATACATAGAGATTTGAAACCTGTGAACATTTTCCTCGATAGTAACGATCACGTCAAGATAGGAGATTTCGGATTGGCCACGACTAATATACTGTCGTCGTTAGTTCAGACCATTGATGCTGATAAAGAATCACAATTTGAAAAAGGTACAAGTATTGACGATATTTTGAATTCGATCGATTGATCAATTGCATTATGCGCAAATGCAATTTTGTTCTGAAAAAGATGCATTTATGCATAATACGATTGATCAATCAATAAATTATATGGTTACATGCGCCTTATATAGTTACATGCGATATATTGATGACAAATTATATTATCGGTCTTGTCTTTTCAAGGTGGAAGTTATGATGTAGAAGAATTAGGATCTCTTACTGGTCAAGTTGGGACAGCTTTATATGTAGCTCCTGAACTCTCCGCAAAAAC